GTACAGCAGACACATCAGGAAGATGAAATGTTGGGGTAACTTCAACTTTTAAAGCCCAAGTCCATCTAAAAATAATTTTTGCCCATCCCTCCCTCCCACACCTCTTTAACCCATCCTTCCCAGAATAAAAGTTTTGCTGAAGTCAGTTATACTGGAGTCCCCCCATCCAGGTCTTTTGCTGACTCCATTCCTTGCTGCAGGGACCACTAATCTATTGCCGTTTGTAACCTTCACTGGCTGGTCCCCATTCATTCCTATACTCCTATGGATTCAACTTCATCTTTCTTCAAGATCCAAACAGGACAGCTCCACTGGCCGTCCAAGGAGAAACATCTGATGTGAACAACTCCTTGAACAAATTAGACAAAATCAGTCCTAGCCAATGTGTTATTGTTTTTTCTTTACACCAGGGGTGTGTAGCCTGCGGCCCACAGGCCGCATGTAGCCCAAGATGGCTATGAATGAGACCCAACATAAAAATCGTAAACTTACTTAAAAATGTTGATTTTTTTTTTGCAGTTTATTTTTATAAGTACTTATGCTCGTGAAAATGCTCCCGATACCCAAACTGATACTTTGCAGTGCGATTTGCATCCATACAGAATGTATGGACGCAAATTTCACCGCAAAGAATAGGATGCGATTTGAACAGGAATGTGATTGCGGTTTCCCCAATTCTCCTGTGTGAACCCAAGCTTGACATAACCTGATTTCACACAGAAGCGGTGCGGGAAACCTCCCTGCACTGATTCCATGCTGAGCGGAGAGTGGGATACAAGGGCGTGTGGGGATGTATACACTGGTGTTGGCCAACAGGCGAAGGAATGAGGCAGAAGCTCCAAATTCTCAGCTGTAGGAGAGGAGAGAAAAGCTGCCTCTCTCTTCTCGTTGCAGGGATGACAATACAGGCTAGATGGCTTCTGATTGGTCAGCACTGTGACAAGGGAGATTTCCTGCACTGCTCCTGTGTGAACTCGGACTATGACAAGCCTGAGAAAACCACATGCAATTTGGACAGGAATCGCAATTTGGACATACATTTTGTATTTGCACAAATCGCACTGCAAAGTATTGGTATTCAGTATCAGCAAGTACTTGACTGAAAGTATCGGTACTCGTACTCACCGAACAAAAAATGGTATCGGTGCATCCATAGTATTTACACTTAGCAAACACATGTGGGTAGTGGTGTGTTTAGGTTTTGTGCTGCCGTACGCAACAGAAAGTCGCCCCTCATCCCTGACATTGACCAACAACATCCCTGCCCCCCCCCCCACCCCAGAGAACCTTCCACTACATTCGTCCCCTAAACACCAGCCACTCCCCTCCCAGCAAGAGAGAGAGAAAGACACTCACCTTCACAGCTCTGGACATCCTGTCAGGGAGCGAGGAGCCAGACACACGAGGAGGTGCAATTAAAGGTAGGTTTATTATACAAAAACAAGACAGAGTCTATGCAAGTCCAACAGCAACAGTGGATGACTTGGTAGGACAGTAGCCAGGAGGGATGGTCGCCAGAGCCGGGATCAGAAGCCAGGAAGGATGATTGCCAGAGCCGGGGTCAGAAGTCAGGAAGGATGATCGCCAGAGCCAGAGCCGGGTCAGAAGCCAGGAAGGATGATCGCCAGAGCCGGGGTCAGAAGCCAGGAAGGATGATCGACAGGGCCGGGGTCAGAAGCCAGGAAGGATGGTCGCCAGAGCCGGAGTCAGAAGCCAGGAGGAATGGTTGCCAGAGCCGGGGTCAGAAGCCAGGAAGTATGGTCGCCAGAGCCGGGGTCAGAAGCCAGGAAGGATGGTCGCCAGAGCCGGAGTCAGAAGCCAGGAGGAATGGTTGCCAGAGCCGGGGTCAGAAGCCAGGAAGGATGGTCGCCAGAGCCGGGGTCAGAAGCCAGAAAGGATGATCGCCAGAGCCGGGGTCAGAAGCCAGAAAGGATGGTCGCCAGAGCCGGGGTCAGAAGCCAGGAAGGAGTCTTGCCAAAGCCGAGTCGGTATCCAGGAGAGCAATGAGAAACTAAACAGGAGCTTGCTGCTGTGCAACAGACAGGAAACGAATGCAATGGACAGCTACAAACCGCAGACTTATATGTGATAAGCCGCCACCTCCTGGGAGGAGCCGCAGAGGGCTGAAAGCATAAAGGATCCCACAATGCTTTGCAGACACCTAAGATGGATGCCAGCACATGGAGGAGCACAAGCCCTGAGGAAAGGTAGGACCTTGACACATCCCCAGGAACGAGAGTCAAGCAGCCCGCAGCTTCCCTCAGATCCCATCTGGTCCCCAAGCCACATGTGTCCCTTCTACCGTCCCTGTCCTCCTGAAAAATGCCTCCCTAGGCAAATGCCTAGTTTGCCTTGTGGAAAATACAGATCAAAAATGCAGCGCTAAAACACATATGAATATCAATATATCTTACATAGAAATGAAATGCAAAGTGGCAAGTGATAATAGATAAATCAAAGCACTGAAGATGAGCGCAATAAAGTGACAATAGTGCGTCATCTTAAATTAGATGACTTGCAGTAAGGTAAATGCACATTATAAACGTATAGCAGTCCATAAAATATAGTAGAAAAAGCTTTCTTATAGGTGCCTAAATCATCCAGTGTCTGGGGACAATGGTTGCTTCTCACTGGAGTTGCATTAATAAGGTGCTCTTGACTTCTGTGGATAAGAAAAGAGGTGTGCTTGCACTTACCAGACGCACAATATAATTGCACATATATATATACAGTATGACACTCAGAAGGGCACTAGTGGTCATCTAGGAACCGGTAGGGATGAGACACTTCTCAGGCACTTAGTACACCCTGGAAACTCCAGACCTCTCAGTGGGACCCTCACAGCAAACTGAGACAGCTCCTTGGTTTCACTTACACCCGGCTTCCTATCAGGTCAGCACCAATGGATATCCACATTTAAGTAGCTCCAGGAATAAGCCACCAAACAGAAGAGCTCATATGGTGTAGTAAGTTTTATTGAGCCAATGGTATACAAATAGTATTGCAGTTATATTCAGCAAATTGCAGAAATTCCATACAAAAGTTACAAAGATGGCTGCCAGTCTGACATGTGGACTTGGCAGCAAGTGACGTCAGAGCAGCAAGCTCCTCCCTGATGCGTTTCGTACAACAGCACATTGTCAAAGGGATTTAGAGGTTTTTTCCTTATGCCAGCTGCTTTTATTTCGATTTTAAGAAGCGCTCGCTTGATTGTTTACTTTAGCTTGTGGTAAATACACCACTGCATGCGGCCAAAGAAAAGTTTGACAGTTTCTCTTTACTGGGCTTTTATACGTTTTATCTTCCCAAAGAAAAATATCACACTCTTCACAGTCACGTCTTTTTCATGTCCTCAGTTTTTGGCAGCACCTACATTGTTGAAGGATGAAGCCCACGAAGGGCACAATTAGAACCAAATATCTGATTAGCACTTTAAGAATTCATTGAGAATTACTACTACATCCATCCAACCAGATATTGGTGTGTAAATTTGAGGGCTTTTTTTCTAAAAAAAATAGGTGCAGGAACTCCCCACTTCTGAGTCACTTCTTGTCTCTGCCCCCCCACCCACCTCCGAGTACTTTCACTGGGTTCCACCCCCTACCCACCTCCCAGTACCACTTCAGAAAAATAGACCCCCCCAGCAACAATAGATTCCTCCAGCAATGATATTCCCCCAAAACAAAATACCACCCTAGAAAAAAAGACCCCCAGTAGCTACAACAGATCTCCCAGCAGCCAGCAACAATAGACCCCTCCCTCAACAGTGGACCCCTTCCAACAACAATTGACCCCCATCAAAAATATATCCCCCAACAGCAACAATAGACCTCCTCACCAACAATAGATCCCCCTCCAGCAACAACTGACCCTCATCAAAAAAATATTCCCCACCAGCGACATTAGACCTCCCAAGCAACAAAAACATCCCCTACCGGCAACAATAGACCCCCCACCAGCAACAATAGATCTCCCAACAGCAACAATTGACCCCCATCAAAAATAGATCCCCTATCAGCAACAATAGACCGCCCCAGCAACAACAGACCACCACACAAAAATAGATCCCCGCAGCAGTCAGAAACAACAGATCCTCCAGCACACCCCAGCACCCCTCGCCATTACATACTTTCAGCGCTGGAGGTGCCAGAATTGCGTTCCCCAACGTTCCCACTGAAAAAAAGCCCCGGTTAGTTTATAAAAAAAAGGTGTCAAATATCGCACTAGTTTTATGTTGCCCTCTTTTACTTTTATAATAAAAATACATGAAGTTTTATTATTCAGATAGAGACATTATATCATTGATCGATAACATCTGATCTGCCTGACTTATTCTGCTCATTAGCTCTTCTTATTGTTGTATTTTTTGTGTTCGCCCAAGACAATTCCTCCTCTTCCAATGTGGTCCAGGAAGGCCAGAAGGTTGGACACCCCTGCTTTACATCATCAACTGCTAAATGAGCTTTCTTGAGGTGCAAGGGGATTTAGGGAGCTTTAATATAATCCTTGCAGGTGGTTAAGCAGGCGATCTACAGCATGCTGGGTGCTGTAATAAGCACAATGATTCCAGCACTAAATATATGGGGTTTTTTACCTGTAACTAATGAGCTCTCAGTGTGAGATACATTAATAAGAGAATCTGCAGACAGTAAGAGGTAGGTGGATGCTTCGTAATTACGCTGGAGCTTAAAGGCTAATGAATCACTCTTAGAATTCCCTGTTGTAAAATAATAGGCATGAAATCACTATGACAATGTCGACAATAAAAGAAACACATGTCATTTATTCCTATTGATAAACGGGCAAACGTGACAATGGCCCATTTGTCTAAAAGCTAAGTGAAAGTGTACTTTCCAGGATAAACAAATTCCCAACTGGGTTTTTGAGAGCAGGATTCAACTGGAGCCAAAATGTGTTAATTTAGTTTTGGATAGAGTAGGGAATGCTTTGAACCCCTATTAGATTTTTACTGCTGTCTGTGTGACTTACCATGGTCACAGAGATAGAAAGATGGGAAAAACACATTTTAAAATTGTCACCAGACCAGGAGTGGACTGACAACATGGGGCCCCTGGCAACAGGAAATCATGGGGCCACTGTGTCCTCACCCATACTAAAACCACACCAAAAAAAGCCTATGAAAAGGTACCAGGGGCATCTCATGGGGCCCCCTACTAACCCAGGCCCACGGATAGTGCCAGAGTGCCTAATTGGTCAGTCCGCCCCTGCACCAGACCAAGAATTAAACGTGATATTAACCACTTGCCCTCCAGAGGTTTTACCCCCCCTTCCTGTTAGCGCTATATAAATCCTGTACAATGAATATATATATATATATATATATATACACACACACACACTGTATATCCTAGATTGTAAGCTCGAAAGAGGAGGGCCCTCGAACCCCTCATGTTTCGCATTGTATTGTTATTGTACTGTCACATGTTCTGTCCCCCTTTGTAATGTACAGCGCTGAGCGAACTGTTGGAGCTTTATAAATACTGTATAATAATAATATATAAAATCTCATGTTGAAATTCGTTTTTATTACAGAATATATGAAAAATATTTTTAAAAATATATTTCAAATATACTGTAGGTCTTTTTTATAAGTTATATTCAGATTTTTTTTAACAAAAAAAAGTATTGTATTTCTAAAGACATACAGTATATTTGAAATATATTTTTAAAAATCTTAATATATTTTGTAATAAAAATGCATTTCAACATGATATGAGAGAGAGAGAGAGAGAGAGAGAGAGAGAGAGCGAGAGAGAGAGAGAGAGCGAGAGAGAGATCATGTTGAAACGCATTTTTATTACAAAATATATTAAGATTTTTAAAAATATATTTCAAATATACTGTATGTCTTTAAAAATACAATACTTTTTTATGTAAAAAAAAATAAAAATCTGAACATATAAAAAAGACCTACAGTATATTTGAAATATATTTTTAAAAATCTTAATATATTTTGTAATAAAAATGCATTTCAACATGATCTCTCTCATATATATATATATATATATATATATATATATATATATATATAATTATACAGGATTTATATAGCGGCAACAGTTTGCGCAGCACTTTGATATATATATTTATTGAAATATATTTTGAAATATATTGAATATGGCCAAAATTGTAGCCTTTCAAATATGTCAATATATTTGGGAAGAATATTTTTAAAATATATTTCAAATATATTTTTCTTCCATATGGGGAGTGAGGAGCCTGGGAGAGGGGGCCCCAGGGAAGGGAGCCTACCTACAGGCAGGTCACTAAGAGAAGAGGCTCTCCACTGCCTCAAAGTCTCCTGGGGAGGACAGCCTGTGTAGCAGGGAAGGAACCAGTCCAGCAGAAGACCTGAAGGCAGCCACCAACCCACTAAGCTAACAGGAGAAGTACTCTTGCACCCCCTGGGCCAGATAAGGGGAGACGGCGATCAGGTGCAAGACCCAACTAGCTTTTCATGCAGGACTGTTCAAATGACAGCTTCTGGGTCCCCTTGCCCAGGGAATATGCTTAGTGCAGCTGGGTGAGGAGGAGAAATCATCCAGAGTCTGAGGATGTACACCAAAGGGGTTTAGTGCTCCTTGGAGAGACTGTTGCTAATCCGCATTTTTCTCCAATGTGTGCACAATGTAGGAAAGGTGTGTTGCCTAGCCGTGTAGAGCATAGGGGGGGCCCATTTAAATCCAGTGGCCCCTTAAGGGGTAGTGTTACACATCATAAAAAAGGTTACTGATTTTTTGCAGCCATATACATGAGCCCTAAATGACCTGGTCACATACCCCCCCCCCCCCTCAGCAAGTGTGTATGGCTAGTACTCATTTTGCCAGCTTTAAGCATTGGAGTGGCAGGACAGGCAGCATATTTCCAGTAGAAAAAAAAAAGGTTTGTGACAAAATATAATATGAGGGGCACAGGCTAAAAGAGAAAACACAGTGTAAGACTTCAATTGCGCTTTAAAGGATAAGTGTAACTTTGGGAACATGTTCCACCTGTTTTTAGGGTGGAACATGTAATATGTTCCCATAGCCACGGCCACGGCCCCCCCTCCATCTGACAGATAGTACAGGGAGACTTCTCCCTGTACGATCTGTCAAATTTGAAACCAGCATGGCCGTTCTCGGCTCCGCCCACACGACCGCATTCATGGACTTTCTTGGGCATTCTTAGCCGCTGTGGGCTTTTAGTTTTCAATGAACTATCATGGCACTGTGGAGCACCACGGTAGTTCATTGAAGCATCCTGTCAGTATATCTGCTTGCTCGTACATCCTGTACAGCAAGAGGATATTCTGACAGGTCTGCAGGAGACCTGCATGGCACCAGCGATCAACTGATCGATGGTGCAAGATTTCCAAGTTCCTGTAGACAAAAATAAATGCACATTTTTTTACCTGCAAAAAATGTGTATTTATTATTTTGTCTTAAAAGGTAAACTTATCCTTTAACACACCACTGAACATTCAATGATTTTAGGATTCGAAATCACTGGGCACACAGTTTTAAACTACGGTAGGTAACTTTAATTTTTGGTTTTAGGTTTGGTTTAGGTTTTGCATACTTTGCAGGCTTGAATATAAATTTGCAGGTTTGAATATAAATTTGATCCAGCAGAATGACAATGTAACTGAATGAAAACAGCAGAGAACACGTTGTCATTCCCACTTTCATATTGACTGTACTAGAAAAGTAAATATTATACTTCTCCGACCTTGAAAACAGCGTTGTAATCTTCTCCAATGACTAGTGACATATTGTATAAGTTTTATGTTGCCATGAGACAGAGCTTGAGACTATCATTTTTAACCTTCGTGGCATCAATCATAATTTTCTGTTCATTCTCGATTAACGTCAAGCTTAATCTCAGCAAAATTGACTCAATGATCTACTGCTCCGTTTCAACAAATACTTCTTGCGCTGAGATGACTTGTGGGGGCTGTCATGTTCGACAACAAATACAGACGTGCTAATTGAAAGCACTTGATCTTCAAGTGCTATTTTTTCCTGTGCGTAATGTGACTCACACGCCCGCTAAGATGATTATGTCAGCAACATCTTTATCCACATTAAGGAAGAACTCCGTCAATAGGCTAACTGCAGTAATAACGCATGCAATTTACTCTTGCCTTTCTGGTTTGTTGCACTGTAGAGAGTCAAATGTAATCTAGCACCCAGTTTGAAACTGTAGAACAGTGTACTATGGAACCCTAGAGATCCTTCAGAGGTTGCCAGGGGCTTCCTTAAGCAATGAGCATTTCCTCCTCTCAGATAAGTTCCCACTGACACCGTTGATCTTTTTAGCTATTCATAAGAGCTAATCCTTCCCAATGACCACAAGTGTAAGGAGCATGCTTCCTACTGACCATCACGCTAATGTATCATGAGGTATAGCTATAGTAATTTGTAGCAGGGGTTCCCTGAGACTGGAAAGTTGTTTTAAGGGTTCCTCTGTTGAAAAGGTTCAGAAAGGCTGCTGTAGTATAAACAAGTGGGCCAAATAATGCAAACTCAGATCCGACATTGACTTACTGGTTTGCTGGTCTGGAGATATTCTCAGATTGGATGTACTCTGCCAAACCAAGTATACGGGGTTCTTTATAATGCAGGTTTCTTCCTTTTCATCTAAAAATGAAGCTAAATTGAAGCTTTTCCTCCATTGAAGGTAATGGAGCATGGCGTGTGCCCCATTAGCTTCTTTCCTGGCTACAGCAGCTGGGAAAAGTGACAGCTGAATCTGGAAGTGATGTAGTCCCTTTCGGGTTCTTACTAGGTAGGGTAGATTAGTGAACAGAAGTTCACTGGTCTCCCTCTCCTCTACCTGGCATTAGGGGCGAATGTACTGTCGGTGCAGATAAGCGGTCAATCGGCTATACAGCTGGTTGAGGTGGGCAGGGCTAACAACATCATCACGCTGTGCAGATCCTTTCTGTCATTCAAGGTGGTTCCTGGATGATAGCAGCTCTAACATTGATGCAGACTGAGGATTATTACAGGCAATTTCTATTGATGCAAATGTGAGTGTAATAATATTGATTGTCTGCATCATGAACCTTCTCCTTGTGTAAGCATTTGGCAACTGCCCTATTGCAGCTTTGGTGCTGCTGTGTGCAGAATCATATATATATATATACAGTATATATACATATACACACACACACACACACACACACACATACATACATACATACATACATATACATACACACACACACACACACACACACACACAGTTAAGTCCAAATATATATTTGGACACAGGCACAATTTTCATACTTTTGGCTCTTTATGCCACCCGAATAAATTAAAATGAAACAATCCAAATGAGTTTGAAGTGCAGACTTTCGGCTTTAATTCAAAGGGTTGAACATAAATTTCAAGTACAAATTTTAGGAACTGCAACCATTTTTTTTTATACATGGTCCCTCTATTTTCAGGGGCTCAAATATTATTGGACAAATTAATATAATCATAAATAAAATGTTCATTTTTAATATTTTGTTGAGAATCCTTTACTAGCAATGACTGCCTGAAGTCTGGAACCCATGGACATTACCAAAGACTGGGTTTCCTCCTTTCTGATGGTTTGCGAGGCTCTAACTGCAGTTATCTTCAGTTCTTTGTTTGTGGGTCTTTCTGCCTTTAGTTTTGCCTTCAGCAAGTGAAATGCATGCTCAATTGGGTTGAGATCAGGTGATTGACTGAGCCATTGCAGAATATTCCACATCTTTTCCTCCTGGGTTGCTTTTGCAGTGTGTTTTGGATCATTGTCCATCTGTACTGTAAAGCACCATCCAGTCAACTTTGCTGCATTTGGCTGAATCTGGGCTGACAGTATATTTCTAAACATTGCGGAATTCATCCAGCTTCTTCTGTCTGTCACATCATCAATAAACACCAATGACCCAGTGCCACTGGAAGCCTTGCATGCCCATGCCATCACACTGCCTCCACCATGTTTTAAAGATGTTGTTGTGTGCTTTGGATCATGAGCTGTTCCAAGCCTTCACCACGCTTTTTTCTCCCTGTCATTCTGGTACAGATTAATCTTAGTTTCATCCGTCCAAAAAATACTTTTCCAGAACTGGTCTGGCTTTTTGTAGATGTTTTTTGGTAAAGTCTAATCTGGCTTTTCTATTCTTCAGGCTTATGAATGGTTTGCACCTTGTGGTGAACCTTCTGTATTTGCTCTCGTGAAGTCTTCTCTTGATTG